TGAATGCCATAGTGGATGATCTAGAGGAAGACCTCGACGAGGATATGCCGGATCCATCTGCCGTAAGCGTCGAAGTCGCATCAACAGGCAAAGCCACGGCTCACCAGGAAGATGGTACGAGGATTGCAACACCTGTTCAGGGCACACCAATGGCGAAGCCACCTTCAGAGGCCAGGACTCCTGCTTCACGATTGTCTGCACTGTTGCAGAGTTCGGCTATGCGCCAGACCCTGGGAGGAGCGGCGAGCGCTCTTTCCTATGCTGCCGCTGTTCAGTCCACTCCCCAAGACTGGCATATTGAATTCAGTGTGAATGACCAGCCACTCTCGAACGAGACCACCATCTACCGTGCTGTACACTTCACGCGATCTCAACCATTAGATGGCCCATTGCGCTCAGTATGGAATGGCATTCATACAATCAAGTTCAAGCGGGTGCAGGGTCCGCCACCGAGCGAATCGAGCTCTCTGACACCGCCTCCAGAGTCAAAGTCCGACGCTTCAGGTATGCCAGCTTCATTGGATGAGCATCCTGTGACATCTGGTATTCTCAGGCTGCTCAGCATACTTCACGGATTGAATTCTCATCTCGACGACATTCTCCTGGCGAACAAGGAGCAGATCAAACTCAATGCGGAGCCGCTTTCGCAGTTTGTCAATACGAAGCTTACTGCGAAGCTCAACCGTCAACTTGAGGAGCCTCTCATCGTAGCTAGCAACTGCCTCCCTAGTTGGAGTGAGGATCTAGCCCGCTTTTACCCGTTCTTATTCCCATTCGAGACTCGCCACCTCTTCCTGCAGTCTACCTCGTTTGGTTACTCCCGATCAATGACGCGATGGCAGAATTCGCAACCCACAAGCGATTCACGAGGCGACCGACACCGGGATGAGCGACCTTTCCTGGGCAGACTCCAGCGCCAAAAGGTCCGCATATCACGATCTCGAATCCTCGAGTCTGCGATGAAGGTCATGCAGCTATACGGACACTCTGCCAGTGTATTAGAAGTTGAATACTTCGAAGAAGTCGGAACTGGCTTGGGACCAACTCTCGAGTTCTACTCAACTGTTTCTCGGGAATTCTCCAAGAAGAAGCTCAAGCTCTGGCGAGAGAATGAATCAAACGACAGCGACGAATACGCTTTTGGCAAGCGAGGACTGTACCCTGCACCGATGAGCGAAGAAGAGGCGAACAGCGAGAATGGCGAGAAGCGCCTCGAATTGTTCAAGGTCCTAGGCAAATTCGTTGCCCGTTCCATGTTGGACTCTCGTATCATCGACATTTCCTTCAATCCAACATTCTTCCGCATCAGTGACGGTTCTAGCACAGCCGTTGTGCCATCTCTTGGGGCCATCAAGACTGTCGATGAGGGCCTGGCCTCATCGCTGTTACTGCTCAAGCAATTTGCCGACGCTAAGAAGAAGGTCGAGGACAGCGATTTGAGTCCAGAAGAAAAGGCAGTAGCTCTCCAAGAAATTGTCATACATGACTGTACTGTAGAGGATCTAGCACTCGACTTCACTCTGCCCGGCTATGATTCAATCGAACTCATCGAAAACGGCGCAAATACAGCAGTCACGATTGAAAATGTCGACTTATATGTCGACAAGGTTATAGATTTCACTTTGGGCTCCGGTGTCGAGCGCCAGGCGAACGCTTTCCGTGAGGGCTTCACGGAGGTGTTCCCGTATTCTGCACTCAAGGCCTTTACTCCAGACGAGCTGGTCATGCTTTTCGGCAGGACCGATGAGGATTGGTCTCTCGAAAGTAAGTTCAGACTCTCTTTACATTGTACGATTGTGCTAACAATACTCTAGCATTGGTGGACTCGATCAAGGCAGACCACGGCTACAATCTCGACAGCAAGAGCGTGCGCAATCTATTGTCTACAATGAGCCAGTTCAATGCACAAGAGCGTCGAGACTTTTTGCAGTTCATCACTGGTAGCCCCAAGCTTCCAATTGGAGGTAGGATCCATCTAATCATCCCACAAAATAACAATCATGTTAACCTTTTCGCAGGCTTCAAAGCTCTCACACCAATGTTTACAGTTGTTTGCAAGCCCAGCGAGCCACCATTCACATCTGACGACTATCTCCCGTCTGTCATGACGTGTGTTAACTATCTCAAGATGCCAGACTACAGCAGCGTCGAAATACTGCGAGAAAAGCTCAGCGTTGCCATCCGCGAAGGCCAGGGCGCTTTCCATCTTTCTTAAAATGCAAAGTGTAGGTGTGTGGTTTTGGAAGACGAAGGAGGGTGTGGAGAGAGATATATGTATACCCTTGGTGGAGGAGTCGTTTTTCCTTGGGCGCCACCGGAATATTGATATCCATGGCTTGTTTTTTTTGGAAGATGCAGATGGTCTCTTTTGTTCATCATGCATAGGTTCTACGCTCTTATGAAATGTATGCATTGCGGGGTAGTTTGGTTCTTGCTTTCTTCTTCTTTTTTTTTCATCTATTTCCTGAGGGGAAATACGGCGTTCGAAGCGCATAAGGTAGTTTGCTCTGTGCCCTTCTCGTTACAACGTAGTTTTAGTCTGTAATCGCTATATACACAAATTCCTTAACCATAACAATTGACAGGTTAGCCCTTGTCAGTCTCCTCCCCCCCCTCCCTTCCGCTAAACTCATTAGTCCTTAAATAAGGGGGCAAGCGCGGGGGTTTGCGCCCATTAAAACCTTAATCTTGGGTTCAGCAGCACCCGTAAAAACCGTAATCCCCCCAAATCCGCATCAGCACTAAAGTTTTTTTTAGTTAAGTAGAAAAAAAAACCTCCCGAGGTCCACACATCTAACAAGAAGGGATTCTTTTCAGGGTCTTTTTCTTCTTCTTATCTTTCTATTGCGTAAGCAAGCCTCCCTCCCTCCCTCCCTTCTCTGCGTCCCGTTTTTTTTGGGGGGGGGGCCTTGCTAGGTTGGTGAACCGGGGGGTTTGTGTCGCGCACGTGTGTGTGTGTGTGTGTGTGTGTGTGTGTGTGTGTGTGTGTGTGTGCACGTACCTTACCGTATTTCTTATTTTATTTTCCTTAATCGGAGCGTGTGCGCGGGCCATGGCTCGCGTGCCTGCGTTTGGTCTGTACGTCAACGTGATGAGCCTTCCGAGCGCCGAGGCTGAGGCGGAGTGGAGTGGAGTTGTGGTCGGCGTATCCGTTGGGTGGGAATTTAAAAGAGGGGCTGAGTCGTGAAGTTGAGGGTTTGGGGGGGGAGGATATGGAGATGGGGAGGAAAGGATGGTGTTGGTATGCGTGTTTTTGCGGGAGGGGGGAAAGATAGAAAAGATGGTGGTTATTGTGAATTCAGATATCGGGGGTTTGTTGAAAGTACGAACGTGGTTTGATTAGTGGTGGGTGGGTGGGGAAATGACTGACCCGTTTATTCTGACCGGGGAGTGGACAGAGCGTCTTTTTTGCTGCTGGTTAAGTCGTGTTTGGTCTTTTTGTACACAGCGACTGGTGGGGTGCGAGATGAGAGAGTCGTTCATAATGTTTCTTTTTTTGGAGTCAGCACTTATTTTATGTTATGTATGTTTGCGCTTCTGACTGCGCGTTTGATTTGGGGGTGTTTTGAATCTCCCCTACTTCTCTTCTTTTGGCGTGAGAAAGAGACATTGTTGTTAGCTCGCATCTTCTTCTTCTTCTTCTTATTCGATCGTTCTTTCTGGTTGTGTTTGGATCTCTTATTTTGTTTTCTTCATTTTATCGATTTGCTCTTTCCTCCACGCTACGCCACACTAAGTGCCTTGCTGCCTTTCTCCTTTATCTCCCATCCTCTCACATTCCAACACGTTTTTCGAACACAACTCCTCGAAGAAGTCTCCATCCAGTCGGATATCGCGAGGAAATAAGAGAACACACACACACACAAACGCACATAATGGCTACCTCACCACAAACCCAACCACTCCTGAGCCGGGACCACTACGAAACCAAAAACACTCTCTCCATCTTCCATGATGACTCGCAAAAACGCGGCTTCATCATCGTCATCGTCCTCAGCGTCTTCGCCACTGTCGGCATGCTAGCCCTCATCTTCTTACTCATCTTCCTCAAGAGGAAGCGCGACCGCCGTAACAAGGCCGCGAAGATGGATGCGGAGAAGGGCTCGATTTGGCCGGGGTCGAAGAAGGGAAAATACCAGAAGGTTGAAGACGAGGATCATAGAGATGGAGTTTGGAGTGCAGATATGGAGATGGATGAGAGAACCGCGTATACTGGGGCTGGGTATGGCGAGGGTGTGGGCAAGGAGCCGTATAGACCGGTAAGATGAACGATGATGTTTATGCAGATAGGGATAGAGAGCTAACAAGGTGTAGGCTGATTCACATGCCTCGAAGTGAAAGAGGTGCTTGTCGGTACTATAGTACATATTTTTTTCGGTTTCGATTGTATATTTTCTGGGGCTTTTCAGCGGGCATATTGGGTGGGATGGCAAGACATTTCTACGGAGTTTACATTTCATATCTACTTAAACGGCGGGGGACAACTGGGGTTTAGTTCTTTTTCTTATTGCTGGGTTGTTGTCTTTGATGTTGGCGCAGCCGCGACTTCGAGCAGCACTAGGCAATGCTGTCCCTCCATGTAGGAATAAGAGAAGAGATATTGTAAGACTAAGTCATAGTTTGCGGAGATGCTGTGGTATTTAGTCACTCAACTGAAGTTTAGTAATGGTTCCAAGAACAATTGTATATAATGTCGGTCAAATACAACTGTGTGAGAACGTGAATTGAACCCCTTCAGTACTGTGGATTTATAAGCCTATAAAATAATCGAGAGCTTGAATTCGTTTGCTAAACATTGGAATCTGCCGCTCAAAGCGGCAACACAAGTCCATCCTTATTCTATTTTAAATATCTATTCGTAATGCAAAGTCTTAACATCTAGACACATCTAGACAAATCTCGAGTCCAAATCTATCCACACAACTACACCCACTCAAAGACTCAACTAAAACCTTTCTCAAGTAACAGCACCAACGGTCCAATCTTTCCCGTTTCTCCCATCACCTCCCCGCCCTCCTCTCCTCCAACATCTCCTCAATATGCCCATTCAACCAATACCCCCTCAATGCCGCCTCCTCCATCTCCCCCGCACCCTTAATAACCCCCCTACACGCCTCCTCCTTACAATGACACTCAAAAGGCTGCGCCATACTCCACTCGGTACTCGGATAAAAAAACGTAAGTTCATCTCCCTGCTTCAACCCGCCTTCCCTGTCACTAACCCTTACCTCCCACCTCTGCATATCGAATACAAGACTGGGCTTGCAGCTGTGGTTGATGTAGAGCAAGTCGCAGTTGAGTTCGATGTGCAGGTTGCGCGAGGCTTGGACGGAGGAGTAGGCGGCGGTGGTGGTGGGGGTTGGGGTCGTGATGCGGGCGAAGAGGGCGCCGGGGGGCAGTGTGACGAGGGAGAGGGAGCGGCTGGTGAAGGAGCCCGGGTTGTGTTCTACGCGGAGGAGGCGGGTGAGGTCGGGTTGGACCCAGGCGGGGATTTGAGGTGAGGCCACGTGTTTGGTGGGGGTTTGAGCGGCGGAGGGGGTTGGTGGGACGGCTGAGGGAGACATGGTTGGGGAGGGTTTTGTGTAGTCTCTTGAGGTGGAAATTTAGATGTATATGGGATTGTATAATGAAAGATATTCGTCGGCCAACAAGGTCAGAAAAGAGAGGGACGATTGGTTATTTAGTACTCGGCTTGGAGTGGCTCAATTGGCCGGACTGTGTGTATTTCAAGTGCCGTCTGACCGAGGGGGTAACGAGGCCCACATGTGAAGACGTAGTTCTTAGTTCTGTGTGGGGATACTGCGGATGGCTCCATATTGTAGTCTGCGCCTTACGGTCATGGTGTGGGTACATCCCGCGTTGTGACATTCTACGACTTGCACTTGTACCCATATCGTATGAGACCCGGGAGTAGCGTGGTGTTTATGCCGAGGTATCCTACGGCAAGAGATTGTATCTCCGGTTGTCAGCTCTAGAGTAGTAGAATAATACTTTACTGTCTCTGTTCAATTCACACGGAAATATTGAGAGAAGGGAGAGGATAGACACATGACATGTGCTCTCGCCTGCTCTGCTTAGTACTGTTTTGCCATTGAAGGTGTTTGGATTCATTTCACAATTCTATCACCATGCGTCATCATACAGCATGTTCTGATTTTAACCAGTGAAGTTCTGCGTTGGTGCAACGTTCTAACTAGTTCCATAGTAGCGTCCACCTAGCCCGTAAACAGCAACACTCCGCTGCAGGTTTTCCCCCAATACTCGGCTTGTTGCAGAAGTATGATCTGTCCTAAACGACGTTTCACTTTGAGTAAAGAACTGTGGCCGTAAGTGATTTGGAATAGAACTTTCAAGGTATTAAGCGCCACATAGACAGGAATGTCCTAGTTGATCTCTAAGCCCATTTCGACAGGCACGGTCTCACAGCATTACATCCAGGGCTGACTATACTCTATTCGGCTTAGAACATATACCTGATTGATCCTTTGGTGCAGTCCAAATCTTGCACTACGTCCTGGACTAATTATACCCAACTATCATCCTTGAGTCCGTGAGTGGAGCTGAAGAGGGATTCAGCTTTACTAAATTGCTATCTACTGGCACTCACCATCTTCAGACATCAATTAACGAAGCATAGACATTTTCGCATGTGATTTTGCAACAAGTATATCTCATCAGCTTTAATTCTATAATTCCACATCTTGTATCCATTAATTCGTACCCGTGCTATCTTCACAACATCTACAACTACCATCTTTTTTTTTACTTCGTATAAGTCTGCTCAACAGGCGAAACCTTGTCGTCACTATCAACGCTCGTCGCCAGTGTATCCTGCAGTCCCATTTTACTGGTATCGTACCCGTTCGCAGAGAGATACTCTCTAAACTTGACATCCTCTTGATCAATTGTGTCCTGTCCAATGTGCGGGAGCAGCAGAACCAATGCAGCAGCTACAAAAGCCAGAGATGAGGCTACGAAGAATGGGTTGCGACCTGCTGCAATCTCGTCGTCGCCGGCTGCCTTTTGAATAGCGTCGAGGGCGTAGGAACCAGCGAATGCTCCGATTTTGCCTACTGCAGCTGCGATACCGTAGTACTGTCCGCTGTGGAAGGTGTTAGTTTGACGCTCTTTGGTACAAGTAAAGAAAGATAGTGTCAATGCATACCGTATACCAGTAGCGCACGTTTTGGATGCCACCAAACCAATGTTGTCTCCGGGACCAAACTCTCCGAGTGCAAGGAAAACACCATATACAACCACAAATCCAGCAACATTCTCAGGCTTGCTCAACCATGGATACACCCCAGCCATTACAAAACCGATAATACCCTGCAGGGTGACTCCGATAAACAAAGTCTTCTTGGGACCCATGGAAGGCAAATCGGCAACAAAAGCACCAGCAAGGCAACCAGGCATGTAGAAGAAGTTGATGAGAATGTTCCACGCCAGACTCTTCCACAGCGGTGCAGATTTTCCAAGTAAATTAGCCAAGATAGACGTCGCGTAGATGCCGAAAGAATATGCGCTAAAGTCATAAATGAACCAGATGATGCTGACAATACTAAGTCTGAACCAGTAGAACTTGATAATGAGCAGCCACGGCGTTTTCGCTTTAGCAAGAGACTCGCGCTGGAACGCCTCTGGTTCCTGCAGTTTGAGACGGAGATATAGAAGCGATAGAGGGGGGATAATGCCGATGCCGAGACAGATGCGCCAGGCGACTCGAAGATGGTTCTCGCCGGTGATAAGAACAACGACTGTGGCGACGATTGCACTGATGAAAAAGGCTAGGTCGATTTGTACGTTGGTGAAGAGAATGAACCATTTATTGCGTGTTCCCTCTTTGAGCTCGCCGGTTGATTCGGCACAGCCTACGCTGCCGGCTGGATATTCTCCGCCAATGCCTACTTGCGTCAGTATGTTCTTACTTACTGGAAATTTGCGTTGACTATCATACCGATTCCCAAGAAGAAGCGATACACGACCAGTGCTGTGAGTAGACCGCTGGGGCTACCGCCGGCCCCATACGAAGCCGTGCCTAGTGTTGCAAACAGGATGATGATGATTGTCGAAGCGAACAAGGACCATTTTCTCGAAAAGTGGTCGGATGTGTAGCCGAAAAATAACATGCCCACCACCGTTCCAGCGAATGTTATACTCGCTACGTTTGCCTGGGCTGAAGACGACGCATACGACTTGGGATAGATGGTCTTGAGCATGGTGTTGACGGGCCCAATAATCTAGACATGGTGTTAGCAAATCCCGATATCCGTCGGTATTTCCGTTTTGAAGATGCTTTGGGCCAAAGTATTGTTGCTGCGCTAGGAACTATTGTCGCTTGGGTGTTGTCGTACATTGTTCAAATAGCCATCACTAAAGAGACCAGCGCCACACGCAATCACAGGCCATAAGCGCTCCCATCTTCCCTTTTCCGTCCTTGCGACACTGCCTCGACGTTCGACATCTTTTTCAGTCGTGCGATCAAGCTCGGGCTTGACTTCTGCTGCAGAAGCCATTGCGATGAAATCTGCTTGGTCGCGTGGTTTCTTGGAGCTTCACCCCGTGCGGCAAGCGAATCGAAAGTGCCCTATGACAGTTACAACACGGGTCTTGTGAGCGGACAGCCTGACATTTAAACAGCCTGGTTCTTGTGGCAACAGGGTGGTACTGCAGCCGCGGAGTTATAACAACCCTGTCATCAAGCGTTCTTTCCAACCAGGTTGGGCAAGGTGCAGAAGTGGTGGTGCAGATCGAGCGTTGGTAGCCATTCAGAGGACGACAAAAGCTTTGCTCAGCTGTGTCTGTGTGCGACGGGAAGCTGAATGGTTGGTCTCGATGTAACCGGAAACAGCAGGTCTCAAATATTCGGCACGGAAATACCGAAGGACGAGGCCGTCACCTAACATCCTGTCCATACTACATAGACACTGGATGTTGCTAACTTGTGTGTTTTCGACACAGGCCGAATGTTGATACCATATGCTTTTGTGCGTTTAGTATTAGCGACCAAAGTGTTGGTTGGTAAGAGACTACGTGCTGACTCCGTACCATAGACAGTTGATGTATGTAGTAGCGATGGGGGTGGCGCAATCATGATGACGACGACGACACTCAAGCTTTTGCCATGCTTCGGCAGCCGGCGACGAAGCATCAGGGTCGAGGCTTGAATGTGCGGCTAGCGCTGATGCTACATTGAGCTCAAGTGTGCTGCAACTATGGCACGAGGTGTGGCGTGGTCAAGGTCGAATCAATACCTCGGTTCGTTGGTTACTACTGATTGATAACATGGGCGCCATATCATGCGAGGTGTGGACAGATGACCATCCAACTTGGTAGTATGTTACAGTAGTGTGGCGCATGGGAGGCTTGGCTGCTGCCAGGGCAGAGTAAGTAGGATCTCAATGGTGAGCCGCAAAACCACCGTTTCATCCAGCATCCTACCTCGGGGATCAAAGACTGTGCCCAACGTGGATAAGATGATCGAGTTCTGATTCAAGATGCCCATGTGCGCAACGGCTCTACAGATAGCGGTGGGACCAGGACCCCACTGCAAGAAAGTTTTGCGACAGACGCGGTTACGGGCACCCGCTTTTGTACTACTTCAACACAAACCATGGCTGCTTGCGTATGCGTATGTAATTGCAATGCTACCATTCCAGATGCAATCTCCCGACATGAACCCGAAACCATGGGGCATTGGGGGCATCTTGGGTATTGCATTCGCATCGGCCCGAACGGGCGCGGCCGAGGGGGCCGAGGCTCAAGGATTTTGCCAAACCAGACAACTACAACGACGCAAGCCTTCAACACGTGGGAACTTATCCGATAATCCTTCTCGGGTCATTGTTGATGCATGGACTAATGTGGCTTCTTTTGTCTGCGCTACTACTTACGTACATGAAGAGAAACAAGGCTAAAAAAACAAACAGGACATGTTGCATCTCGCTGCAGGGTATCACGTGAAGGAACGACCAACGGAAAACGCTTATGCATCTACTCATCTCACCATCGCTCCACCTACTATTTGTTATCAAACACTTTCATGTGCTCAAAAGGCACAGACGTTTTCTGGACCGTTGTCGTCACCGGCCCGTGCGGGTTGACCCTGTCCATCTCCGCAAACCAGTCGTCGCCATCGTTCTTCGTTAGGTTTTTCGAACTGTGATCTTTGCAAGAAATCTGATATAGATGGCGTGACGAATCTTGGCTCGGACGCGATCCAAGCTCCGCAAAAGGTCGCCCAATCGTCGAAGCGTTGCTGCCCTTGCGTCCTACAAAGCCCGCCCCCATGGGCTGGTGGATGGATGAAGCGGCGCTGCCGTCTCGCGCATGGTTGCCGTTGCTAAGTTTTTCTCCCGACCTGCGAGGAATGTGATCCAGTATTGTAGTCACCATGCCATTCTTGCTGTCTCCGCCCGGTGAGTCTTTTCTGTCGGTCAAGCTGATGGCGCCGTTGGAGTCAAAGCTTTCATGCCTCGCTATATCCTCCACACGTATCTCGACTTCATTGACGACGAAGATCTTGTTGGATGCCAGTGTTGCTATGACTGGCCAGAATATCGGAATCGAAGCGGTGATGATGGCAAAGTTGACCTCGAGAACGGCAAAGATGTACACGACCGGTGTGTGGAATGACATGTCAAGCATGGGTACAGTGCCAGCGCGGTCGACTGCGAGAGCGATTAAGCGGCCCAATGCCACAAACACAACACTGCCTATACGTTAGAATCGTCTCTTGTGCTCGAGTGATGATGGGCTTTGTTTTGCTTACGTGGACCCCAGTATGAATAGGCCAATCAGTCCCGCTCTGCTCTTACCTGCGATCCTCAATGCAGTGATGAACGGTACAGGCAGCAGCAGTACCATAGCATCGAGTAGCAGATTGCTAATAGAATGGCCAAGGAACATGGGAAAGAATTGGGTGGGATCTTTGGCACCCCAACCAATGCATCGACCCGGAAGGTTCATGTTCCAATTTTTGGCTATGGGACGGCATGGGAAGAGTGCTAGCATGAAGAATGTCAAGCCCCATAGTGTGCAGATTACAATCATTCCCCAGATGAGGCGCCTGGCGAGGCGGTATCCGTTGGAGGTTGTTGATGGCGCAGTTTCAGCAAATAGACGTAAATACTGGAGGAGGATGGCGAGCTTGATCAGGGTGGCACTAGCACAATATGCTGCATTGGTGGAATAGATGTGCTGTTCTCGGCGTCAGTATGGGTTGATACATGTTGATGGTGTTGCATGAAGATACCTTAAAATACAACATGAGATGCTTTGCATCAAGTGTCCACAAGTGTAGACCAAGGCCATCAGCCGGCACTGTAGTACATCCGTCAGTTACTAACCCACAGTCGATCTTGTGCTACTACGTACTCATGCATACTAGAATGTCACCACAAAAACTCGCAATACCTGCGAGAACGACAAAGCAGTCATCCCAGCCCCAAAGACGGTCTTTGATACGGACCCATAACCTTAGGCACAGGGTAATGAATGCAATGCTCTGCTCATTGTTAGCGAGCGAGAAGACAAGATGGCAGTGGACGAGTCTGGCTCATGCTACATACTAGGAAAGCAACAGTGGTTCCTATGATGGTGGCAGGCTGGTTGGACGTTGGCAGATTCGCATTATCGGGGTGGTCTCTCGGGTTCGCCACGGAGACTTGTGTGATGGTCATGGTCACTTGGACGCACCAGCGACGACGTAAAAAAGGTATGCGAAGGGGGTGTCGTTGGTCAGTCGGCCTGAAGAGTGGGCTCGTACAGATAATCAGTGATTAGTTACATTCAAACTCCATTACGGGGTTTCTGTCAGCCTTGCGCAGAGGGGTTCGAGTCGATGACAGGGCAAACGAATGCTGGGGTCGAGTCCAGACTGTGGTGGCAAGCGAGGCTGCATTTACAAAGAGATGTAATGCCCTAATAAGACCAACAGGTGGGCCAGCGATGGGCATATCAAAGTCATGACCTGCATACGTTACACCTCCTTAAACCACATGGCTGCTACCCCCTGCTGTCCCGCATGGAGGATCAAAACTGGGCCATGCAGCTAGGGACAGGGTGAATACAGTGCAAGCCCAGACCCCCTCCCCTGCTGTGCGTAGTGGATGCGGGTCGTCACCAAGGGCCTGCTTGTCCGGCTCACTTTAAGATACCGCCCGCGCCCCCGTAAACGTTTTTTTCCTTTAGGCCCCGTGTGCTAGTGCTCAAGTAAAGTATGCCTAGTGGGTTGGCTACTGAGCAGTTTAGAGCTCGAGGACAGGTCTACTTGGAGAAAAGGGTGCCGAGATCCTTCGGCAGAGACCAAATAATGCTACACGATTGGTGGACTGTGATGAAATCAGGATCTAGCTGCTGAAAATAGGCTTTGAAAAGTGTAAGGTGGTAGCGAGCTCAAAGCCAGGCGTCCACTGAAGTGGCGTATTCTATTGGTACCCCGCAGGCCAGTGATGTTTGGCAGAGGCCTGAAACGACATAGCACAGAACTCTGTTGCGTTAGGAGCTGTATGAGGCCAGGATTTCTTGTTTTTTCTTCTTGGTTGAATGCTGCGCGCTCCAGGCGACAGGTGCGCCGCAATGTCGCTTACTCAAAAACAAAGGGCAAGCGTCAAACCCTGGCTGCAGCTCGCGAGCATGCTGGCGATAACAGAATTATATAGCCAGGGGAAATCTTGTCGAAGATCCAATCCTTTGGGAGGCAGTTCCCGCGTGGTGGCGTCGTACTCAGACACCACGTGCACGGTGAAGCAGGGCAGAGTGTCGAAGGTCCAGGTAAGGCCTTATTGATATGCTCGTGTTTACGAACGGTATGACTCGGGGCTCCATCCGCTCTTGGGGTCCACCTCCCAAGGCGAGCTACTACCTTAACCAGTCCCCTGCTGGCAGCGTTTCACCACGTCGATCACAGATGAGGGGATGATCTCGGCCGTACCGTGTGGCTAAACCAACGGTTCGCATTGTAAGCGTGAAAAGGCTCAGCCAATAGAGCGTGGGCGTCAACTTGTCGCAATGCTGCACTCAGACTGTGGTGGTGGGGATGGTTTCGAGGCCATCGAGGCGGGCGTGCCTGGTGCGACGGTGCTTTTCCGGGATAGACCAGACGGCCGCTCTTGGAGCGGGCCTGTGAGTGCCCCTCATTGTGCCGCTCTTGTCTCGACGATGTTAATCCTCCTATTCGTCACGAATGTGCTGACTGGGGCATGGTCGGGGGTGTAAACCATTCGAGACTACGCCTCGGGCCCAAGTCGGCACCGCAGGCCATAGCGCTTCCCACTACACCCACTACATGCTGGTCCAACGCTCCGCGTACATGGCCCATTCAAAAGCGGTATGCGCTCTTATTACAGCCAAGCAGTCGACCCCAACGAGCAATGATACACACCACTCATGCTGCATTGGGCAACGGCAGTGGGGAGAGCCGTTGCGGGCACGCGTCACAGCCTGGGATTCCGAGCTACCTCCAGGCAAGGCGACAAAGTCCGGTTTCATGTCGCTCGTCCACTCTGATCGTGCT